CACACACTGGAGCAGAAAGTTCCACTGCTGAACGGCTCTCACAGTCAGGAAGTTATTCCTCATGTTCAGATGGAATCTCATTTCTTGTAGTTTGAAGCCATTGTTCCGTGTCCTTGTCTCCAGGGCAGCAGAAAAAAGCTTGCTCCCTCCTCCCTATGACTTCCTCTCACATATTTATATATGCCTATCATGTCTCCTCTCAGTCTTCTCTTCTTCAGGCTAAACATGCCCAACTCTTTAAGCCGCTCCTCATAGGGCTTGTTCTCCAGACCCTTGATCATTTTAGTTGCTCTCCTCTGGACACATTCCAGCTTGTCAACATCTCCCTTCAGTTGTGGTGCCCAGAATTGGACACAAATCATAATGGTTCTCCTTAAATTACGTCTCCCAAGATCCCATATGATATTGCCTCGGTGGTTAAGGTGGCATAGAAAGGTATAATGGCATGATGTGAGTGGGACCCTATCTTTGTAGGAAAGACGCCTCTCCTTTCAGATCCCTTTTGGCCACACGTTCCCATCTCCTTGACTATCCGCCCCGAAATGGGGCAACCAGGCGAGAGCGGCTGCGAGCAAAGGCAGCCAGTTCCCAGCTGCTCTGGGAGGTTTGGGATGCTTACAATACTTTTTGCCTCCAGCAAAAATGTATTTCAATGTAATTATAGAAGATAGCTTTCAATATGTCATCTCTATTATAGTCGTTGTAAATTATGAAGAGAAGCATTTCTCCTGGCGCTCCGAAAGTGGGAGAAGGAAAGCTGATGGCGTGACACACTTTCTGGAGGGTTAGAATCTCAACGCGCAAGGCACACACACATACACGCCAAGCCCCCTGCTTTGTTCCCCCTTCTTTCGCCCACCGCCTCCTTTCCTTTTTCTCCCCGCTGCTTGGAAGTGCATTCCCTTCACTGGCAACAAATGTCAAAATCAAACTCTGGGCAGGGGGCGGGGGGCAGGGGGGGGAGGGCAAGGAGGGGGGCTGCAATAAAGACAATGTTGGCCTTTGCTTCTGGGTTCAAAGGAGGCGCCGAGAAGACAAAAAGGCAACGAGACATGATGGAGCTTCAAAGGGGATGGGGGGAGACGTGGGGGTGGGAGCCACAGTCCAAAAGCAGGGGCACCACGGCAGATCAGGCAGTCTCAGAAAGGGGCCACTCAAATACACATCCCTCCCTGATTTGCATAGAACATTACAAAGACATGGCTTGATTCTCCCAAGTCTTGGGTGTCCTCCTGGATTCTTCACTTACGTTTGAGGCTCAGGCGTCGGCGGTGGCCAGGAGGGCCTTTGCACAATTAAGACTCGTGCGCCAACTGCGACCGTACCTCATGAAGGCAGATCTGGCCAAGGTGGTCACCTCTAGACTGGATTACTGTAAAGCACTCTACATGGCGCTGCCCTTGAAAACGGCCTGGAAATTCCAGATGGTCCAACGGCCAGGGTGGTCCATGCCTTAGTCACCTCCAGATTGGACTACTGTAATGCACTCTACGTGGGGCTGCCCTTGAAAACGGCCCGGAAATTCCAGATGGTCCAACGGCCAGGGTGGTCCATGCCTTAGTCACCTCCAGATTGGTCTACTGTAATGCATTCTACGTGGGGCTGCCCTTGAAAACGTCCCGGAAATTCCAGATGGTCCAACGGCCAGTGTGGTCCATGCCTTAGTCACCTCCAGATTGGACTACTGTAATGCTCTCTACGTGGGGCTGCCCTTGAAAACGGCTTGGAAATTCCAGATGGTCCAACGGCAAGGGTGGTCCATACCTTAGTCACCTCCAGATTGGACTACTGTAATGCACTCTACGTGGGGCTGCTCTTGAAAACGGCTCGGAAATTCCAGATGTTCCAACGGCCAGGGTGGTCCATGCCTTAGTCACCTCCATATTGGACTACTGTAATGCACTCTACGTGGGAATGCCCTTGAAAACGGCCCGGAAATTCCAGATGGTCCAACGGCCAGGGTGGTCCATGCCTTAGTCACCTCCAGATTGGACTACTGTAATGCACTCTACGTGGGGCTGCCCTTGAAAACGGCCTGGAAATTCCAGATGGTCCAACGGCCAGGGTGGTCCATGCCTTAGTCACCTCCAGATTGGACTACTGTAATGCACTCTACGTGGGGCTGCCCTTGAAAACGGCCCGGAAATTCCAGATGGTCCAACGGCCAGGGTGGTCCATGCCTTAGTCACCTCCAGATTGGACTACTGTAATGCACTCTACGTGGGGCTGCCCTTGAAAACGGCCCGGAAATTCCAGATGGTCCAACGGCCAGGGTGGTCCATGCCTTAGTCACCTCCAGATTGGTCTACTGTAATGCATTCTACGTGGGGCTGCCCTTGAAAACGTCCCGGAAATTCCAGATGGTCCAACGGCCAGTGTGGTCCATGCCTTAGTCACCTCCAGATTGGACTACTGTAATGCTCTCTACGTGGGGCTGCCCTTGAAAACGGCTTGGAAATTCCAGATGGTCCAACGGCAAGGGTGGTCCATACCTTAGTCACCTCCAGATTGGACTACTGTAATGCACTCTACGTGGGGCTGCTCTTGAAAACGGCTCGGAAATTCCAGATGTTCCAACGGCCAGGGTGGTCCATGCCTTAGTCACCTCCATATTGGACTACTGTAATGCACTCTACGTGGGAATGCCCTTGAAAACGGCCCGGAAATTCCAGATGGTCCAACGGCCAGGATGGTCCATGGCTTAGTCACCTCCAGATTGGACTACTGTAATGCACTCTACGTGGGGCTGCCCTTGAAAACAGCCCGGAAATTCCAGATGGTCCAACGGCCAGGGTGGTCCATGCCTTAGTCACCTCCAGAATAGGTTGGACTGGATGGCCTTGAGGTCTCTTCCAACCCAATGATTCCATGATTCTACTGGGACGATCTTTCATATTATTGTGTCTATCTATGGTTGCATCTCTCATATGGCAAAGATTTCTCTCACATATATACACACGGCATTATTTCAGCCCGTCTTACCCAACTAAAAACCTAGACAGATCTGTTTGCAAGCAGACTGGATTTGTGATAACTCGGTTGAGGACCCCCTCCTTCTTCCATTTCCCTGCCACCACCACCACCACCTTCCTCTCCTTGGTTCAGACAACTTGGAGCCCATCAAACAGAGAAGACCGGCCCCACCTGCCCCTCGGTGCCAACGACAGGTCCTGTTCTCAAGACAAACCAGCGCAAGACAGTTGGCTGCGAGGCATGGGAGGAAAAAAATTATCATATTTCTGTATGGAAGACACCGCTGGGTGTCAGGATCAACGGGGGAAACCATCCGTGTTTCACATCCGCTCTTGCTCTGGCCCTCCCAGCAGCGTTTCTTTCTCTCCGCCCGGCCAAGGTTTCCTGGGGTTTGGACGGATGAATCTGACATTTCGGTTGAAACCTCCGCCAAAGCAGAATGCCGGGTTCTGTCGGAATGCTCACATTTATTACAGTCAGAGGGTAGGAGGGATGCCCGCAACACTTGGGATTTATTCCTCTTCATACTGTTCCATCTTTGGAGGTCTTCCCATTAAGGAAAGAGTGGGAGTCAATACTGCTTGGTCTCTACTACTCTTGTTGCAAGAAGGTGGGAGATGTGGATTTAAATAACAGATATTCCAAGAACAGAAAAATAAAGACAGAAATCCTTTCTTAGCTCATGCATGTTCAGAACATCAAGCAAAAAGTGGGTGCTAGAAAAAATATCTGGCACAGCCTGGGGATCACAACCAGACACAGTGAAGACATCTGCCCTTGCGCTATGCTACTCTGCTGCTGAGTACGCATGCCCAGTGTGGAACACATCTCACCACACTAAGACAGTGGATGTGGCTCTTAATGAGACATGCCGTATTATCACAAGGTGTCTACGCCCTACACCACTGGAGAAATTACACTCTTTAGCCGGTATTGCACCACCTGACATCCGCTGGGAAGTAGCAGCCAATAGTGAAAGGACCAAGGCAGTGACATCTCCAGCTCATCCCCTGTTTGGGTATCAACGAACACGTCAACAACTTAAATGTAGAAATAGTTTTCTAAGATCTACAGAGACACTCGCTGGAACACCCCAGCAAGCGAGAGTCCTAAAGTGGCAGGCTCAAACCCAATGGCTGATACCAAATGAGGGCACACAGAAGACTGGGCGACTTGGAGGGCGCTGAACAGACAGCGCTCTGGCACCACAAGATGCAGAGCCAACCTTAAGAAATGGGGCCACAAAGTGGAATCCATGACATGCGAGTGTGGAGAAGAGCAAACCACTGACCACCTGCTGCAATGCAACCTGAGCCCTGCCACATGCACAATGGAGGACCTTCTTGCAGCCACACCAGAAGCACTCCAAGTGGCCAGATACTGGTCAAAGGACATTTAATCAACTACCAAGCTTGCAAATTTTGTATTTTGTCTGTTTGTTTGTTTTGTTCTGTTAGAATTGTAATACAATTGACTGGTTGCCCTGACACGACAAATAAATAAATAAGCTCACGCAAATGTTGGCAATAGTTAAGGTGTTAGGCCAGGCATGGGCAAACTTCGGCCCTCCAAGTGTTTTGGACTTTGACTCCCACAACATGGGTATGCAGATGATCCCTTGACTGAGGGAAGTGTCCAGTTCCAAGAGGACAAAGGAAAGGGCCCGAGGCTGTTAGGAATTGTGGGAATTGAAGTCCAAAACACCAGATAAGGGGTTCTCAAACTGTGCTCTGTGGAGCCCTTGGGGCTCCGAGAGTGATAGTAAACATAACTCTACTACTCTTTTCCACCAGACTCCAAAGGGCTCAGCGGCTGAAAAAGTTTGAGAACCCTTGACCGAGAGGGTTGAGAATTAGACTGAGAAATCTGGGTTCAAACTCATGCTCAACTCTGGAAAGCCTTTGAGCAAACCTGGCAACAGGAAATGACATATTACTTCCAGGTTGTCTTGCTGCTCTTGCGATTTTATGCAAGGGGGGCACAAAATCAGATGCATAAAAGAGCCACATAAGATGGCAATGACTAACCTGTTCGTATTTCTCCAGCTCCGTATGATAGATCTGCCGAATCTGGGTCAATTTTGCCCTGTAATCTGAGTGTTCGATGGAGTTATCTGAACTTCCGCCGGATGCTGCCGCTGCCGCTGCCGCCGCCGCTGATCCGCCACCTTTCTCAGGACCTGAAACCCCTTCTGCGAGAAGCATATTGTCCAACCGCATTAGTTGGGGGTCAGGGGGGTCTTCCTCTTGAGCGCCTCGGATGCTGAGACCTTTAGGTGAGGGGGAACGAGAAGAAAAACAAAGATCTCAATTAATCCCCTCTGCGAAGCTTTTACATATTCTGCTGAAAGTCGAAAGAACCACCTCCCCCTCGTTTTCCCTGCTGGAAGTCGTCTCCATATGGATTTCTGCGAGCTCCCCACCCCGGCAGTTGTCATTCAAAGAGAAAGATATTACTAAGTGCTTTTGTGTGAAAGCAAGAATGAAGAGCTCACACTGAGGGGCATCAGGACTCGGCGTCAAAGAAACAAAAGAATTCTGAAACTTGGCAAAGTTGGGTGTCAATTGGGGGGGAATCAAAGCAACGGTGGAAATAGCTCAAAGGTGTCCTGCTAGAGCAACGTTTCTCAACCTTCCTAACGCTGTAACCCCTTAATACAGTTCATCATGTTGTGGTGACCCCCAATCATAACATTATTTTCATTGCTACTTCATAACTCTAATTTTGCTACTGTTATGAATTGCAACGTAAACATCTGGTAGGCAGGATGTATTTTCATTCACTGGACCAAATTTGGCACAAATACCTGATATGCCCAAATTTTAATATTAGTGGGGTTGAAAGGGCCGATTGTGTTTAAGTGCAGGCCAAGGTCCTTAGGCACTGCACCCAGTGTGCCAATCACCACTGGGACCACCTTTACTGGCTTGTGTCAGAATCTTTACAATTCGATCTTTAAATCCTCTTATTGTGTTAACTTTTCCAGTTGTTTCTCTTCAATCCTGATGTCGCCTGGGATTGCAACATCAATGATCCATTATTATTATTATTATTATTATTATTATTATTATTATTATTATTCTGACACAAAAGCACAGTATGTCACAGCAAAGCTGGATTTCGTATCACAAAATCACAAGTTGAAGACTTCCCAAGCGTCTAGGACTGTGTGATGTATTTTCGAATGATGCGCACAGATCCAAGTCACGTGGCCTTTTGTAGTTGACAGATCATGATTTTGTTAATGTTTATTGTTTCCAAATGCCGGCTGAGGTCTTACGGGCAGCAGCCAGGATGTTAACTGGTGCTCCCTACAGAGAGAGGTCAACCCTCCTATTTAAGGAGCTCCACTGGCTGCCATTTATTTTCTGAGCCCAATTTAAGGCGTGCTTACCTACAAAGCCCTAAACGGTTTGGGAACATCCTATCTGCGTGACTGCATCTCTGTTTATGAACCCATGCACTCACTTCATTCATCCAGTGAGGCCCTGCTCGTGATTCCGCCTGCGTCGCAGACGCGTTTGGTGGGGACGAGACAGGGCCTTTTCTGTGGTGGCCCCCCGACTCTGGAACGCCCTCCCGAAAGATCTCAGACAAGCCCCTACATTGGCAGTCTTCAGAAAGGAATTGAAAACCTGGCTGTTCCGATGTGCCTTTTCAGATTAGGAACCTCCAGTACCAAATCCTAGAAGCACCTTAGTAGAACCAAGATCACTGCACACTGCACACCGCACTTATATTTAATCCCACATCCCTCCTGCCACATCAGCACTTTTAACCCTGTACCCCTACTTCGGCCGGCCCAGTTTTAATAGTGTCTTGTTGTATTGTTTACTATTATTGTTTTCTGCTTAACTGTTTTTAATTTGCTTTGGGTATTGTATTGTTGTATTGTGTTTTGGGGCTTCGGCCTGTGTAAGCCGCATCGAATCCCTTGGGGAGATGCTAGCGGGGTACAAATAAAGTTATAATAATAATAATAATAATAATAATAATAATATATTCGGGTCAGCTTAGACTTGAGTATATACGGTATTTCTTATTGTGTTGTCTTTTGATGACAAAGGAACATAGCTGCCTTTGGCAGAGGTGGCCCTAGGTCAGTGGTTCTCAACCTTGGGTCCCCAGATGTTTTTGGCCTACAACTCCCAGAAATCCCAGCCAGTTTACCAGCTGTAGGATTTCTGGGAGTTGGAGGCCAAAAACATCTGGGGACCCCAGGTTGAGAACCACTGCTATAGAGAACCTCTCTTTAAGGATACAGTATTTTGCCCCCGCCCCCCACCAATCACTGATATATATATTTTCTGTTCGTCGTGGGAGTTCTGTGTGCCATATTTGGTTCAATTCCATCATTGGTGGAGTTCAGAATGCTCTTTGATTGTAGGTGAACTATACATCCCAGTAACTACAACTCGCATATGTCAAGGTCTATTTTCCTTCAAGAGCGCCCCTGGGCAAAATCAACTCTACCGCGAATGCTTACTTTGCGTAATGGCTTGAGCCACCCCTGGGTATTTGGGCACTGAGACCATCCTGACCAAGAGCAGGCCAGCCATTTGCTACTTTGGCCCAAACTTCAAAACATCTCAGGTCACGTGTCCTTTGACCACCTCGCTTAAATTGCGACACATGCATTCGAAATGGCCAGCACTGTCACCGGCATCTGGTATCCTTGCCTGTTTATTGACAACCACAACAACAACAACAATGAGCAGGGGGGAGAAAGCAGAGAAGATTCCAAAATGATGCCCAAATCATCGGTCTCATCTGAGTACTTTAGATCAAGGCTGACAATTTGTAGGTTTAATCAGGTCAGGCGGGCACACTGCCAAGGCGCTCTCAACACCAGCGGAAAACAAAGTTGAGCCATAATTACAGTTGTAGGGGGAAACCGCTAGAGCTGTGGCTCCTCGGATCGGCATTTCCATTCAAGAGGCAACTATCCCAGCCCAATTAACCTCTTCAAATCAGCCTGGGGAGGGCGGTTGGGTGGAGAAGCAGGTATTTTTGACAGATTCCCTCCTGGGGGAGGAGCTGGCACCTACCGCGTCTGCATGCCAATGGGCTCGCATGTTGGTATTTATAAGCGGTGGCAGCGCTGACATGACAGCAACATCCATAAACTGCCAAGCGTTTTGCTCGGAAGTGGAGACAAATTTCTCTCCGCCCCTGAATCGAGACCAAAATTTTCTCAGGGCAAAGGAGAAGGAGAGAGATCCATGACACGCTGGCACAAACATAGTGTAATAGTGACAGCCTGGGTGTGTTATTTTCATAAACACACATACGTTTTGAATTCCACCACCTCTCCATTTCGGTTTCCCTCAATGTCACGGAAATGAGTGAGACATCTTCTTGGAAAATGGCTCGCCTTTATCACTGGGAGGTGGTCAACCCTCGAAGGCTCACATCTCCGAACACAAAAGCAACATCTAAAGAGCCGGAAGGAACCACAAGGGCCATCTAGTCCAACCTGATGAAAGATGACCACACAACCATGCTCTGGGGCAAACATATTCCACCCTAGCCGTCCCTGCCACGCATTGCTGTGGCTCACATGGGGGTTCTGTGTGGGAGTTTGGCTCCATTCTATTGTTGGTGGGGTTCAGAATGCTCTGTGATTGTAGGTGAACTATAAATCCCAGCAACTACAACTCCCAAATGTCAAGATTTATTTTCCCCAAAACTCCACCAGTGTTCACATTTGAGCTTATTGAGTATTCATGTAGAGTTTGGTCCAGATCCATCATTGTCTGAGTCCATAGTGATCTCTGGATGTAGGTGAACTACAACTCCAAAACCAAAGGACACTGCCCATGACCAACAGTATTTTCTGTTGGTCATGGGAGAACTGGGTACCAAGTTTGATTCAATTCCATCATTGGTGGGGTTCAGAATGCTTCCTTCAAACTCCACCAATGATAGAATTGAACCCAACTTGGAACACAGAACTCCCATGATCAACAGAAAATACTAGAAGGGTTTAACGGGCATTGACCTTGAGTTTTGGAGTTGTAGTTGACCTACATCCAGAGAGCACTGCGGACTCAAACAATGATAGATCTGGACTGAATTTGGAATGAATATTCAAGATGCCCAAATGTGAACACAGGTGGAATTTGGGGAAAGTAGACCTTGACATTTGGGAGTTGTAGTTGCTGGAATATATAGTTCACCTACAATCAAAGAGCATTCTGAACCCCTCCAACAATGATGGAATTGAACCCAGCTTGGAACACAGAACTCCCATGATCAACAGAATTCACTAAAAGGGTTTGGAGGGCATTGTCCTTGAGTTTTGAAGTTATAGTCCCCATCGGGGAGATGGTGGCGGGGTATAAATAAAGATTATTATTATTATTATTATTATTATTATTATTATTATTATTTCACCTACAACCAGAGAGCACTGTGGATTCAAACAATGATAGATCTGCGCTGAACTTGACAGAAATACTCAATACGCCCAAATGTGAACATTGGTGGAATTTGGGGAAAATCCCACAGAACTCCCATGACCAAGAGAAAATACTGGAAGGATTTGGTGGGCATTGACCTTGAGTTCGGGAGTTGTAGTTCACCTACATGCCCAAGACAATACACAACATACAGCAGTGGAATCTGGGCGTCATGGTGGAAGAAGCAATTTTGGGAGTGGAAGGAACCAGAGTCAGTAGAAATGAATCGACTCCAAATGACTCCAAAATGAAAAACTTGCAAGATCATAACGACATATGGCAGATATTGCATTCCATACCTATATTTTATCCTTAATCGGATAAATTTATTGTGTGTTCTGTCAATCAAGGGAGCGTGATGATTCATGCGGAGGTGATGAAATGCCTTACTGCTGCCACCCTACTACAGTAATTACTAATTAATAGACATTTGATATTCATGAAGAAGCTGGAATCAGGCACTAGAGAAATAAGGGTGTCGGATTCAAAGGTTTGGCGTCCTGACTCCACAAGGTAGGCCTCAACCACAACAGAATGGGACCCCAAATCATTAAAGGGGAGGCTTGCATAGGGCCACGGCTGAGTTCAAGATCATATGTAAGGTCACAGACTGAGTCAATCCAATAAACTCGCAGCTCTATAGAACTGGGGGGCATTTATCCTAGTCTGTCTTAGTGGAGCTCTCCAAATGCTGAAAGCTAGGAAGCTCCTGAAGATTAAGCAAAACTATCTACCGGGTTATAGCAGGTATGGGCAAAACCAGGCTCAGATGCGACCCCTTGGGCTCTTTTCTCAGGCCCTCCTCACT